CACTTACGTAAATTAAGAAGCACTCAAAGCATTGCTAGGTGTAATTATGAGTAATACATACATGGTAAAGTATGAGCACCAGTGTGAGAATACCTACCAACTTCAGGACAGCTGGAGGAAGGAAAGGGGCACAAAGACTTCAACTGTGTAAGTTTTTTTTTTCTTTCTTCTTTCTTTCTTTCTTCCTTCCTTCCTTTCTTTCTTTCTTTCTTTCTTTCTTTCTTTCTTTCTTTCTTTCTTTTTCTCTTTCTTTCTTTCTCTCTATCTTCCTTCCTTCCTTCCTTCCTTCCCTCCCTCCCTCCCTCCCTTCCCTTCCCTCCCTCCCTCCCTTCCTTCCTTTCTTCCTTCCTTCCCTTCCCTCCCTCCCTCCCTTCCTTCCTTTCTTCCTTCCTTCCCTTCCTTTCTCTCTTTCTCTCTTTCTTTCTCTTTCTTGACAGTGTCTCACTTTGTTATCTAGGCTGGAGTATAGCAGCACGATCATGGCTCACTGCAGCCTCAATCTCCCCGTCTCAAGCAATCCTTCCACCTCAGCCTCCTGAGTAGCTGGGACTACAGGTGCGAACCACCACACTCCACTAATTTTCTATTTTTTGTAGAGATGTGGTCTTGCTATGTTGCCCAGGCTGGCCTTAAACTCCTAGACTCAAACAATCCTCCTGCCTCAGCTTCCCAAGGTGCTGAGATTCGAGGCATGAGCCACTGTGTCTGGCCTGTCTTGTTTCTTTTAAAAAATGATCTGACATAAATATGGCAAAATGGTAGCACTTGCTATTTCTGGTGGTGGGTACAAGGCTTTTGTTATATAACTCCTTGTCTTTTTCTATATGTTTGAAATATTTTACAGCTGAAAAAAGAAAATAAAATTCCAGAGGCATTTTGCACACATTTACATGAGTAGAAATGAGCATTTACTATGATTTTCCATTTTCATCCCTTCCCTGAAAAACACTTCGTTGGATTTCTCTTCCTTGTATCTTCAACGAAATGCTTATGACTAGGCATGGTGGCTCACATCTGTAATCCAAGCACTTTGAGAGGCTGAGGTGGGAGGATCCTTTGACCCCAGAAATTCAAAACCAGCCTGGCCAACATAGTAAGACATTGTCTTTACAAAAAATACAAAAATAAGCCAGGCATGGTGGTGTGCACTTGCAGTCCCAGTTACTAGGAAGGCTGAGGCAGGAGGATGCTTGAGCCCAGGAGTTTGAGGCTGCAGTGAGCCATAATCACGCCACTAAACTCCAGCCTGGGTGACTGAATGAGAGACCCCGTCTGCAAATATTCATAAATGTGTTTTTGTTTGTTACAGAAATATGCACCCAAAGGAGCATTTTTCCAGCCAATTATTCTGCGCCTTTCTGGTCTCATTTCTCAGTAATTTCTGAGTAATTTCTCATTTCTCAGTAATCACCCTCATCCCGATACATGGAAAAATGACCTATTTGACGTAGGCTGCATCCAATCTACTCAGGAGATTCCCTCTCCTCCTTCCATTCCCTGGGGCTGCAGGTCTCATCTCCCTCTGGGGGATCTCCTGGCAAGTGCCTGGTTGCCCCCCTGCCTAGAGGAGGTTCCCAAGCCTTGGTTTACTTCCCCTCTTCTTTCTTTACCATTTCCAAAGTTTCCTTGTGAAATTCTACTCCTCGGTCACCCCCACCTTCCTTTCTTTCTTACGATTCCACTAGAGCTGGCCCATGGGAACAGCGATCCTCAAACTTGAGTGTGCATCACTATCACCTGGAAAGCTCGTTAAAACGCAGATCGTGGGGCTCCACCTTCAGGGCTCTGATTCAGTAGGTCTGGGTAGGGTCCGGTGGTGTGCTGGGAACTGTTTAACAATGGGCTCTCAGAAAGAAAAATGAGCACTGATCTGTAATGTTCCGCAGTGTAAACACTCCCACTATGGTTGATTTCAAGCCCTCAGTGTGACCGTCACTAAATGTGGAGTTAGGGAAAGGACATGTATATTGGTTCTCCTGAAATGATACAAGCTGTCTCCAGCCACCCTTGGCACTGGGACCTAAGAATTTGATTATTTATTTATTTTGAGATGGGGTTTTGCTCTATCGCAAAGGCTGGAGGCTAAAGTGCAGTGGTGCAACCTCAGCTCACTGCAACCTCTGCCCCCTGGGTTCAAGTGATTCTCCTGCCTCAGCCCCCCAAGCAGCTGGGACTACAGATGTGCACCATTATGCCCAGCTAATTTTTGCATTTTTAGTAGAGATGGGGTTGCACCACATCGGCCAGGCTGGTTTCAAACCCCTGACCTCAAGTGATCTGCCCGCCTCAGCCTCCCAAAGTGCTGGGATTACAGGTGTGAGCTACCACGCCCAGCAAAATTTGCATTTCTAATAGGAGCCTTGGTAGTGCTGAGTTGCTCGTCTTGAAGCAATTCATACTTCAAGAATCACTGCCTGGGAGGGCTGAGCATAGGAGTATGGAGTTTGGGAAGAGATTCCTGGATTGTGTGAATGACCCTGCAACTTTGACCTGAAAAATCTCATCTCCCTAAATGGAGCCTAGAAAGAGATTTCATTTCACAGCAAAAGAGGCTCATGTCCTGGGGACCAGCACAGGCTACAAACCAGGGCTCTGTTTTGGGCTGGTGCACTGGCCTGAAAGTTCTGTGTCCTACGCTGAATGACCCCTGACCACAGACCACCAACCACACTGCCACTGCCTCAGGCAAAAGTCCACTGCCACCTTCCCTGGCTCCAGCGCTGGCAGCGAAGGAGCACAGATGGACAGGATGGGTGCACGAGAATCCTAGCGGGTGTTCCTCCTTCAAGAGAACAAACCATGTCTCTGAGCGTGCGCCTGGCAGAACCAAGCATAGACGCTGGGGAAAAAAGGGAAGGAAACGGGGAAGGAAGAAAGAGAGAAGGAAAGGGTTAGGGGTGGGGAGAGGGGGAGGAGAGAAGAGGATCCTAAACACAGATGCTGATGTGGGGTTAGCAACTTCCAGGGGACTTAGGATGCATTCAGGTTAGGTGAAAAATGAAAGCACCAGATGACACCTGTCCATCCCCCGACTCCAGCTTTATTCTTTGGGCTCTTTGACTTTCACTTTCCTGGTCACCTCCCCCAGGCCCAGCCCTACGATGCCACCTCTGGGAAGGACAAAGGAGGCTCTGTAGGCTCTGCCAGATGTGAAAGATCATCCGGGAGGCAGGCGGCATTACCATGCGGCCGTGTTGCTGCACACACTCGTGATATTATCCTGTTGGTGTATAGGATTATTCGTCATTAGGGTTACAGGGTGTAGTAACTCCAGGTGCATTTGACATTTCTGTTCAAATTGTACTTTGGGGAAATCCGGAGGTTTTCCTTGCTGGTAATTTATCTGGTTCCTTCCCCCAAGAGCCTGGCTGCTTCCTCACCTGCCTCCCCCGAAACTCCTTCCTGTGCCCTCAGTGGCTCCACTCTCAAGGACAGCCGTTGGGGGTCCCAGTCCTTGCTTTCCTACCAAGTGTGGGGTGGGCCTGGCAGAAGAGGGGATTGTATCTGATCCAGCACATTCCTCTCATTTCACAAATGCAGAAACCCAGGCCCAGAGCAGGATGGAGACCAGTTCAGGCCACTCCCTCCATGTGGCCCAGCTTGGATCCATTCCCAGGTCTCAGCTTCCTGGGAGAGGGGACACCTTGCCAAGGTGCCCCTGCTGGCACCTTGAACAGTCAGATATGGTGACATCAGCCACTCGGAAAGACTTCTCATTTTGCCTTCCACACTCCCCCAACTTCCTTCCTTTTCATTCCTGCCTTTCCTTTGTCACTTTTGTGCCACCTCTCTATCTCCTGCCTACCTCCCTGAAAGGCTATGATGGCCTGCAGATCAGGACAGTCCCTCCGGCCTGAGCCTCTCCCACTCTTGAGTTCTGACAATGCTGCCAGTTCTTGGAGAGAGCTGAGGGGACCTGGCTCCCCCTGGCTTCCCCAAGCCTCTCAGCCCACAAGGCCCGGGTCCTTCCTTCCCGTAAGACCTCTCTGGAGACCACACAACAGTGTAGGGACAACCGGAGATTCGGATCCAGATCGGATTATTCTGAAGTCCAGTTTCTCCCACTGCTCACTCCAGGTCTGGTAGCTGCTCCTCGTCATGGCGCACTCAGCCCTCAGCACACATCCGCAGGCTCTTAGCAGGTGAGTAGCCTGCTTGGGAGTAAAGTAGGGGGCAAAACGCCATGGCTGATTTCAAACAGCTGATTGCCAAACGCCAGACACATTTACACAGCTGTGGAAAGACAGCCGCACACAAGCAACCAAGCTGATGCCCCCCAGAGCTGATCCCCCAGACACAGAGTCGGGAGCCTTGCCTTCTACGGTAGGGACCAGCCGTTGTTCTGACATATTACACTGACTAGGACCCACCACGCTGTCAGGTGGGCATTATTATCCCTGTTTTACAGAAGCACAGAGAGGGCTAAAGACTTTCCCGAGGTCACAGAGCTGGTGCAGGACAACCTAGATTTCAATCCAAATTGGATTGATTCTGAAATCCGGGTTCTTTCCATTAGCATCGGGATCAGGAGGCTTTTTGGAGTATTGCCTCTCCTGAGCCCTTCTCCCTCTGGTGGGAATAGGTTCCCTAGGGTGGCAGGGATTTGAGTTGCAATTTGAGAGGCTCAAGCAAAGGCTAAGTCATCAAATGCCTGGGATGTGGACCCAGAACCCACTTTGAAAGGTGCCCTAGACCAGCCTGGCTGTAGACAGGCTCACTAAGAGGCTCCAGCAACTCTCCCTCTTCCCCCTCCCTCTATCTCGCCTTCTCTTCTCCCCTTCCCTTCTCAGGCTCTGCACCCCTCTGGACTGCTCCTCGCAGAAAGTCTGATTCTGTTAGGAAAGATCTGCAGGACTTGCAGTCCGAGTACAGAGTCTGGCACAGAGACTCAAAATTCCTTGAGTGACGCCACACAATGAAACTCTCTGGAAGCTGTGAGGTGCACTACCCCATTGTAACCACACGATGCCACCCTTGAGCTGCACACACATTCCCACCCGCCTGCTGGCAGCAGGTGGCAAAGCAAGAGCTGCTTTGCAGCTGGGTGGGATAGGGAGGGTCCGGGTAGCCTCAGGGGCAGGAGCTCCCGTGGTCACAGGCATTATTTAGCACTGCAGTTTTGCTCGTCGCCATCGTTTCTCTCCCACTGCTGTCTGGCTGTCACCTGGTAGGAGCTCGGTTTGCCTCACACCTGCAGTAATTGTTCCTGGACCCATAAACCCGACCTTTCCTCCTGAACCTCCACAGCAAACCTCCAGCCCCACTCAGGATCCTTTAGCACTTCTGAACTCAGTGTGGGCGACACGGCAGCTCACATGTTGCCTTAAAATGGCCTCCTGCAGCTTCTGCATGGGGAAGGAATCTTCCGAGGGCCTTGTTTCTAGGGCTGTGGCTCTGCAGCCATAGAGGGCTCGGGGAGGCCTGATGCCACACCCCTCACCTTGGGCTGTCTTGGCACAAGTGGTCACCCCAGGGCTGAGTGAGAGGATTCCAGATAAGGGGTCCCTGGCCCTGGCCATATCCTGGCTGGAGAGCACCATGGCACTTGGGAGCCTGGTCATCCATCTCATTGTCAATGGTGGACAATGAGATGGACGTCTCCGTGGTCACCCCCGACCTGCTGTGGCCTCACTGCAGCTTCAGTGTTGATCCCCAGCTACCCGGCATGAGGAGGAGGAACAGGGAATCTAAACCACCTGTAATTGGCATAACCCATTTTCAGCCCCCTTTAATTATTTATCGAAATGGAGTCTAGCTCTGTCACCCAGGTTGGAGTGCAGTGGCATGATCTCAGCTTGTTGCAAACCACTGTCTCTAAGGTTCAAGTGATTCTCCCGTCTCAGCCTCCCGAGTAGCTGGGATTACAGACGTGCGCCACCATGCCCAGCTATTTTTTGTATTTTTAGCAAGAGTTTGGTTTCACCATGTTGGCCAGGCTGGTCTTGAACTCCTGACCTCAAGTGATCTACCCACCTCAGCTTCCCAAAGTGCTGGGATTACAGGTGCTTCCAGCCCCTGCCCCCTTTAGAGGTGAAAATTCCACTTAGCTCTATTTCAAATCTCTCCATATCATATAGGTCCTTCTCTGTCCTTTATCCCAACATGATTCTCACCTTTGGGGAAGTTTCCTTAGGCCCCAACTGAACTCTTATATGTGACCCCTACTCTCAGCTCTGTCCCCCATCAGTCTCCCATCCCCTGGGGCTGACACCCGTGGGACCACCCCTAGGCACTAATTCAGTCCTTCCTCTTTTCTGTGGTGTGCAATTCCACCTCCTCTCTCTAGAGGTCTCTGCATCCTCAGCAAGCAATATTATTCACTTTAACAAGCCATCAGTGACTTTATTTGAAGGATTTGGGGATGGTTCACAGGATGAAGGGTGCAGCTGAAGATCCAGGCAAGGGCAGGGCAGACATTAGGCAAGCCAGTGATGCCGGCAGCGGAAGTTCATCATCATCTCACCATACAGCTGCTGGGATCAATCAGCATCAATTATTTTGTTCCCAATCTCATATCCTTCACAGATTTCAATTCTTGTATCCACCCAGTGGGCAGAAGAGGGGAGGACCTCGTAGGAGATTGGTCAAGGTGGTAGGAAAAATTGTAAAATAGACGTAAACGTTCTTAGAAGGCAGGAAGATTTTGCAAAAGGCTTGAGAGGGGGTTGTGGTTGAAGGCAGCCTAATCCTTTTACCTTGAACTAATAGCTTAGAACAAATAACAAAGGAATGTAAAGGTGTTTATCTCAATAGATTATTTACCCATGTGGTCCTAAGACCAACCTTTGAACATTCATGGATGAAACTGCTCTCTACTGGGGGTCAGAAATGTTAATAACCCTCTAATGGTGTTTACTTAAGACTTTTATTATTTAATCTGTACTAAATAAATAAAATGTGAGTATCACCAGCTGATGGAGGCAGCTGTTGGCTGTGGCAGTGGAGCCCTGGCCGTGCTGACAGGCAAGCCTGTGTCAGTGTACGTTTTTCATCTGTCGCTCAGTTAAGTCTGTGGGTCAGACTCGACAGGATCTCTTAGTGACAACCTACCCAGAAATGTCTATGGTGTGGGAGGGGTCATCCCCGAAAGGATCTTAGAAGGAGATCATCTGTATACAAAGGACAGAACACTGGGAGAGTCATGTGGCCTTCATCCACCAAAGCGGTTTTGCCTGGCTTCTAATTGAGCCACTCCTTTATTTTTCTTACCTGTGGAGTCTCTCATTTGACATTGCCCACTAGTAAATGATGAAAGGAGTGGCATAACTGAGGCCCAGAGAGGCTCAGTGCTGGATGTAAGGTCACCCAGCAACTCTAAGGGAGAGCCAGGAGACTCCAGTACCACTCACTGTTCTTGGGTTTGCTGTGACTCACCTGGAACCATTGGGGCGGCCTCCCCTGTGGACTGGTCCTCCCGCAGATACTTTTTGGGGTAAGGGCTTCCTGACTACTGTTGAGAGGAACAGCAAGCCCAGACCGCAAAAAGATCCAAAGGAGACAGCAGCTGCCCCGTGGCAGAGGGGCTGGAGGGGAGGCTGTGGCCCTTCCAAGGCTCAGCTAGCACCAGGAAGACCGAGTCAAGGAGGAGGAGCCAGGACCTGCAGGGAGGAGAGGAGGTGGAGAGGAGGGTAAGAAAAGAGGCCTGGGGAGAAGAAAAAGCTGAGAGCCCCGGAGGATGAGGCAGGCAATGAGAATCCCAGCTGTAATCACCTCCACCTCCCAAAGTTACAACCTCTTTATTATGAAAAAGAAGTGGCTGAGCTATCTCGAGCTGTTGAGCACTCCTGGGAAGGGGCAGTTTGAACCTGCGGCTCCCTTCATTTTCCCTGTTCCTCTCCCTGCATCCTCCTCAGAGCCTCCTGCTGTGCCCGGGTTTCATTCGGGTGGTCTGGACCAGGGTCTTTCTGGGGCCTTGGTGCTTCCTTGGTTCCACAGTGTTAGCACACCCAGTTCCCATGGGGGACCCTCCCAGAGTCCCCAAATGCTAAGTGCCCCAAGAAGAAGATGCCATCCCTGGTTGAGACCTTGGGGACAGACAGACATCTTTGAACTTGCAGGCGTGGGCTCCGCTCTGGTTTCAACAGACGCTGCTTTTATGGAGAAGGCAGGGTCCCAGGGCCAGGCCAACTTAGCCTGATCAAATTGCTCCTGCCCATCTCAAATAAGCCACTTCTCCAAGATGACAGCTAAGCCCTGTGCCTCACAGTGGCCTCCTGATTCCATAACGTGAGGTCAGCAATGCTACACAGAGGTTCCTGAGCCAGCCCGGCCTGGGTCTTACCTGCCTTAGAGGCTGCAGCCCTGGAGGAGGCAAGGAGGTCCCGGAACTGTCAACACTGCAGGTTTGCAGAATGAATAGTGTCCTCCTCTGGTTCCCTGCAGAGCTCAGGATGTGATGGTTTATCTCTTGCTTTCCCTGAAGGTGTCAAGGAGGAATCGGGACCTGCTGGAGAAGGGCCCCCATGCCTTCCCCAGACTCCCAACATGATACGACATGGGCTTGTCAGCAGGGGCCAGCTGAAGGCAGTGGAGACAGTGGCCCTGCTCTGCAGTCTGGTCCCGGGAAGAGACCAGAATGTGGGGTGTGTAGCCATGGATGGGGGAGGTGTGGCTGTGGAGCAGGCTGCAGTAGAGAACTTGGGGACAGAGAGACTCTGAGGGTGCCTGTGCCGGGACAGGTGTCCACTTCCCTCCCCATGGGTGGGCCTGGGTCACTCTCAGGAGTACGAGGAGAAAACCCTTTCTTGCCTGTGGAGCAGGCCTCCCGTTCTTAGGTGCTCATCTTGGAGCTTGGGGCCATGTACCTGGCAGTGGCTCTGGGGACTGCTGAGTGGGGACTGCTGTCTTCCACAAAATGGAGACTTGCCCAGGGCAGCTTTCCGAGCTCTCTCCTGGGGTCGCCGGGTCCCACCCCCACCAGCATGGTTCCCAAGAAATCTCTTGGAACTCCAGTCCCTGACTCCCTCCTGCCCCACCTTCCTTGCTGCAGCCCAGGCCAGAACTAACACAGGGACAACACTGACTGGTGGCGGTGGGGTGGGGACATCCTCCTGGTGGGCTTGAGCTGAGCCACACAGGCCAAAGATCTTGGGCCACCAGGCAGGGCTGGTAAGGGCAGCGGTGAGCATGGCAGGCCCTGGCACTGACACGGGCCTGCCCCCATGGAGGGCACTTTCCCCTTGGCATCCCGGGGGCCTCCTCTTCCAAGGCTTCTCCTCCTCTTCAGATTCTGCACAGCTGGCACTTCCATGTCTCCGGTGCTGCAGACTTTCCCTGTGGGATCTCACCTGTTCCTACATCAGGAAATGAAAGTCCCACTTCCAGCTTTAGGGCAAAAACCTCAGAGTCCTCCCTGACTCCTTCCTGTCACTTTACCTCTCCTTCATCAGCAAACATTGTTATGTCTCTGAAAAGACTCTAACTGGCTTCTAACCCCCTCCAGCAGCCACTGCCTCTTACCTGGAAACAGCTCTCCCCTTTCCCAGCCTGCTCCTCACAGTCTCTTCTCCACGCAGCAGAGTGACCCCTTTCAAACAGTGTCTTCACGCCTGTAACTCCTGCGACTCCGGGGGCTGAGGCAGAAGGATCTCTTGAGGCAAGAAATTCGAGACCAGCTTGGACAACATGGTAGGCCCAGTCTCAGCAAAAAATTAAAATAAATTCGCTGGTTATGGTGGCATGCAGCTGTAGTCCTATCTATTTGGGAGGCTGAGGTGGGGGGAATGGCTTGAGGCAAGGAGTTCAAGGCTGCTGTGAGCCACAGTCACACCACTGCGCTCCTGCTTGGGTGACAGAGTGAGATCCCATCTCTAAAAAATAAAAATGAAAATAAATAAATACAATGTCGGATCAGTCTCACCTCTGCTTAAAACCTCCCTCCTACCTTCCCATCTGACTCAGAATAAAATCCACCACCCTACCATGGATGATAAAGTCAGGCATAATCCTGCCTGCACCCCACCCAGACCCCACCCTCTGCTGCCTCTCAGACCATGTTGCCCTCCCCACCCATCACGTTCACTCTCCTCCAGACACACTGGCCGCCCTGCTGGGCCTCGCATGGCCAACCATGCCTCTGCCTCAGGGCCTTTGCACTTGCTGTTACCACTGGCTGAGTGCTCTTCTCCTATAGATCCCCATGGCTCTCCATCATGGCTCACCCCCACTCCTCACTAGGTTTCTTCTCAAAGTGACACCTTCTCAGAGAAGCTGTGATGGTGAATTCTAGGTGTCAACTTGACTCGACCACAGGGTGCCCAGGTATTTGGTCAAACGTTATTCTGGGTGTGTCTTTGAGGGTGTTTTTGGATGGGGTTAACATTTGAATTAGTAGACTGCGTAAATCAGATGGCCCTCTGCATTAGTCTGTTTTCACACTGCCGTAAAGATACTACCTGAGACTGGGTAACTTATACACAAAGGAGGTTTAATTAACTCACAGTTCCACATGACTGGGGAGGCCTCAGGAAACTTACAATCATGGCAGAAGGGGAAGCAGGCATGTCTTACATGGTGGCAGGAGAGAGGAGAGAGAGAGAGAGAGAAAGAGAGAGAGAGAGAGAGCAAGAGCAGGGAAAACTGCCTTATAAAACCATCGGACCTCTGAGAACTCCCTCGCTATCATGAGAACAGCATGGGGAAAACCACCCCCATATTCCATTACCTCCCACCAGGTCTCTCCCTAGAGATGTGGGGATTACAATTTGAGGTAAGATTTGGGTGGGGATACAGAGCCAAACCATATCACCCACCCTAATGTGGGTGGGCCTCACCCAATCAGTTGAAAGCCTGAACAGAGCAGAAAGGCTGAGTAAGAGAGAATTCTCTCTGCCTGTCTGTCTTTGAGCGGAGACATTATTTTTTTTCCGGTCTTCAGACTTGAACTGAACATCAATCCTTCTTGGGTCTTGAGCCTAGAAGCTCTTGGGGCTTGTTAGCCGCCATATTTGTGTGAGCCAATTCCTTACAATAAATGTCTTTACACATATGCATGCACGCATGTGGGTCCTCATTCTCTAGGCCCTCACCTGCTTGGCTAGACTTCACAGTTCTTGTCACAACCAGACATTCTATTTTACAATTTGTTGCCATGAGGCAGGACCTCACCTGTTCTCGTTGTTGCTACATTTTCTGTGCCTAGAGGTGGGCCTGGCACATAGTAGGTGCTTAATAAATGTTTACTGAATAAACTCACAGATGAAATGAACCCAAGGGTGAGAATGTGCTTGGCAAACACAAAGAACGAGTCATTAACAGAGCCCAGCCCATGTGTGGGTCCTCCTGCTGCAGGAGCCGTTGCTTGTTGAAAACAGAATTCATAGCCTTTCCTCCCAAACCAGCAACCTTTCAGAGCTTTTCTGGCCGACCACTCCACCCGGGGGTCTGGACATTCATGGTAGAAAGGTGTCTCCTTGTAAGTGACAAGCGGGCCATGGAAACCCCCAACTCTCACCCCTCCAAACTGCTCCTTACCACTCCACTTAATAGAGAGGAAGCTTTCCTTGCAAAGGTAACAGGAAACAGATGGGAAACATCTTCCTCTTGAGGTGAAACGGCTGAGATGGAGCCTTTCCTCCGAACTCACTACATTTCACTAAATTGGGAGTGGGGAGGGGGAACAGGCATTGAAGCTGTGAAATAGAAGGAAGGGGAGGAGGAGGGGCAAAGGTGGGAAGGGCAGTTGGGGAGAACAAAGAGGGGACCAAAGCAGGGCCTCACTGGCCCCAGCAGAGCCTTTGTGCAAATGAGAGAAAGGGGACCCCTCTCCCTGACCTGACAGCGTGGCCAGCCCATAAGCCAGAGCTGGTTTCAGTCCTAGCCTGTCCCCTTGGCAATCACCTCTGTTCAAGGACAGTGGACACAGCCACACACCTCACAGGCTCGCTCCTCTCTGCTGACTGCAATTCCTCCCCCGCCCCTATTTCAGATCAGTCCTCAGGTTTTGCCTCCAAAAGCCTCTCAGACCCCCTGCCACCCGCACCACCAGCCCAACCTCCTGATGGTGGCCCCTTGCCCCTCTGGGAATAAGCTGTGTACTTGGCTGAGATCCCCACCTTCCCAGTGTCCCTCCTGGGACTTGGCAAGCATAAAACATGAGCTGGCACATGGACAGAGGTCTTCGGCTTCCCTTTCCTGCTTTCCTCCCATGCAGGCTTTTGGATCAGGTTCTGAAAAGGACTTTCCTCAGGCCACTCTCCTGCAGAGCAGAAGGGGTGAGGGACCCTGACCAGCACCTAAGATCACATAGAGCTCAGGGTGGGAGGTTGGATCTCCTTCTGGCTCAAATGTGTGCCCCACCCTGTGCCCCCTGCCCTTCTGCCTGGCACCCTCTGCACAGACAGGACCACCAGATCCTGCACTGTCCCTCCTCCCAAGCCCAGCTGCAGTCCCAGCTTACCTCCCACCCCTCCTCCAGAAATTCCTTCCTCCTCTCTCAGAAAGTCTTTACCATCCACCCTCCTCCTCCCTTTCCCTGTCCAAACCCCTGCCTGCTGAGTGGAGATAGATCCATCTCTCCTTCCTGGAACTTCCTTTGGTACCTTAATCCCTTTCCCTGAATCCCAGCAGCTCCTGCCTCTGGGGCCTACATCTGCCCCTCAGTTGTTAGCTTGGCAGACATCACTGAGTGCCTGCGCATGCCTCACCCTGTGCTGGGAGCTGGGGATGTAGAGACAAGCTCACCACAGACCCTCCCTTCCAGGAGCCTCCAGATTAGAAGGGAAGTGTGGACATTTCTCCCTGGGTGCCTGGAGCCCCTCCAACTGAACATCCTGCAGCAAGAGAGAGCATCAGCCTCTCTTAGAGCCTGATCTTTTTCCTGGGCAGCTTCTTCCCATCACACCAGCACAAATAATGATGGGGTAAAATCAGCAGCCATGGGGATGGGAGGAGGGTCCCAGAGGGGCAAGGCCCTGGGAAGGAGACTCCAGCCTGGAAGGGGTGAAGGGGAAGAGACAGGGAGGCTTCACCAAAGGTCATATTGAGCTGAGCTGGGAAGGATGGGAGGGGTTTTAATTTCTGAGACGAGGAGGAGGGCAGAGAATGGCAGAAGCCAAGGCTCAAGGCCGAGACCTACACAGAGAGGCTGGTTTGTAGGCACAGGAAGCGGAAGTGAGAAAAAAGGTGGGAAAGGAAGTTCAGGCAAAGCTTGCTGGTCCGCGCCAGGCTGAAGAGCCTGCATTTCTACTGCAGGCAATGGGCAGTGTCTGAAGGTTTTGGGAAACACCTGTGAAATTGACCGGAGGAGGGAGAGGCTGCTGCAGGTCGGGGAGAAAATAGAGGCTTCGCAATGCTGCCGAGAGGTAATGGGTGGGGGCTGACCCCGAAGGACGGATGTAGGAGACGAGGCAGCACATTTATGAGGATGTCAGAGGCAGGAAGGGATAAGGCACAGGTCGTCTGGGAGGCAGGGAGAGGGGTCCGGGCGACGAGGACGGAGGGCAGCCCAGAGAACAGCGAGGTGGCTGGATCACATGCAGCCTGCGGTTCAGCGAAATAAACAGATGTGGGAGACCCGCCACGTACAGGGTCGCTTTCTGCGCTCAAAGTGTAGGACCTGATAATGACGATGATCTGTGAAGGGCAAAAAAGGGACAGAGGGAGGCAGCCGTAGAAGCTGGCGGAGGAAGCAGGCGTGCCAGCCTGGGGGCCTCGCTGCGCCCTGCACACTCCGCTGCCCTCCAGGCTGAGCCCCCCGGCACTGTCCCTGCTTGGCTGAGTGGCGGGGGTCAGCGGGCAGCCTGGGAAGGAGGCGCTGCAGAGGGAGCCCGGTGGGCCTGGGCGGGGCGGGGCCTCCAGTCCTGACGGACGCGACTCCCTGCTCTGAGCTGGGAAGTCCGAGCAGAGGTCAGGCGGCCGAGCGCCATCGAGGGCTGGACAGCTGGCACAGGTAGAGCCCCTGCGTTCAGTCCCAACTGTGCCCGCTGCCCGGGTGATGTTGCTGCCCGGGTGGTTCACTGCGTCTGTCCCAAAGGCCAGCGCTAATGCCCCTTAATTGTAAAACAGGAGAGTTTCAGGCACAAAAAAGGGGGTGCCCCTACCTCAGTGAAGGGAGCCGCCATTCTCCTGGCTGCTCCTGCCACCGCGGCCACCTCCACTTCCTCACCCTCCGTTTCTCAAAAGTCTCAGGGTCCAACTCCGAAATGTCTTCTGAATCTACCCACGTGTCTCCTGCCACCCTCCTGACCCGTCCCGTAGAAGACCATCGTGCACTCGCGATCTTGTTGGCCACAGTGGCATTCTTCCTGGTCACTCCAAACACACACTTGCCCCAATAACCCATGCGCTCCTCTGCATCCACAATAACTTTTTAAATTCTCTTTTTTAAAGATAGCGGGGATCTTCCTATGCTACCCCGCCTGGACTCCAGCTCCTGGGCTCAAGGATCCTCCTGCTTCTGCTTCAGCCTTCTGAGTTGCTCTAACTTTTTAATGCAAATCTGCTTAAGCTCCTCCACTGCGTAAAAAAAAACCTTAAATCATTTCCTGCCGCTCTTAAAATTAAATCATTCTCGATCACCTGTCGACTCCTCGGCTCCTCCTGTGTCAGTCTTTCCCTGTCTCCCAGTGCTTTGGCCACGCTGGCTTCCTTCCAGCTCCTTGCCTCGGGGCCTTTGCCCTTGCTGTCCCCTCTGCCAGAACACCCTCCCTCCCTCTCGGCCTGGATAACTCCCACGCAGCCTGCCACAGGGAGCTTAAT